TATTTCTTAAGGGGTTTATAATTTCTTGAACATTTGAACTTGATTGTGATTATTTTGGAGTATTTTTAATGATTTTATGATGCTAAAATAGGAGTAATTAATTACAAGAACTCGAGGGAAAACAACCTGGGCGGAGATGTAGGTTGCTAGATTTGAGTAGTTCATACCTTGATTTTGGGATCATACTTAGTGTGTAACTTATATCTATCAATATGAACGTTTTTATATTAAGAATGAAGTGTATAAATGATTTCTAATGGCCTATAATTCTATTGGTATCATACTAATAAAATGGAAACCGAAAACAGTCAAAGGGAAAAACTGCCTGATTTTGTGTAGTGGAAAATGGACTGTTTTTTAAGCTGAAAACACTTCATTTGCCACAACCTTATGACCTGATTATCTTCTCATATATGTTATAGGTGTGTAGTAAAATTTTGGAAGCCGCTAAATGTAGGTAAGGGCATGAAAAAGAATTCGAAAACTAAGTGGACGGTGATGGAAACCTAGAAAACAGATTCTATCCATTTGAATATTTAATGTGATTTCAACACTTATATATCCATTAATGAACTCTTGGGCCTAGAAAATAGATTCTAAGGAGTACTAGGTTAATGAAAACAATTGGATGATGTTGACGTCCATAATTGGACTTGAAAAATAGCAAGACTTATGGGATTAGTTTGTGATGCCATCGGTAATTTGTAATAATGATTTCGTCTAAATTATTTTGGTGTGAATGGACGTATTTTGGGATTGTGTGTGTTAAGGTTATTAAATGGAGGATTGTCTTTAATATTAGATTATAATATAGGTGATTTTTTGACGTTGAGGAAAAAAAGGAAATTGAGACACACACAACGGTGAAAGATAAGTAAAAATCAATTTCCAACTACGATGCAAGAACCTAGTATTTGCGATATGGTAATATTGGAATATTTACATAACTTTGATAAAAGGCTTATAACATATTATATGATGGTTATGATCGTTGAGTATGAGGTTGTGGAACCTATTGACATCAATTTTCATTAAATATGTCATTCATGAGCATTTTCATATATATGCACAACATGTGATCATGGTTGAAAATTCTGCATGCGAAACATGATTTCAAAGTGAGTTTTCTTTATAAATGTTTTATTGACCACTACTAGGGCATGTGAGGCATGCTTATGTGATATGTTTGGCATCGCGGGTGATACTTCTTGGGTGATTGCACTCACGGGAGGGTGGACCACTTGACTGTGCCCTTATGATATTATGATTATTGACGCTGCTGGTGGGAGACTTCTTGGGTGATCATATGGGCAGTTAGGGGACGGGCCTCTAGTGGTCACGAGAGGATGGTCCACTCGTCAGTGTCGATTTCATATTGGGCATTTGATTATCGATATCAATATTATGAAGAGCTCTATCTGGTGCATAGTAGGTGGGTCAGGGGCCCAATAAAATGAAAGGTTTCAAATGAAATGATTTTGAATCGACTTTAATGAATATTGAAATATGATACTTCTTTATTTTGATGTTTAAAGTAAATGGCATGATGGCATATATCATTATTATTCATATTCATGACATGCATGATTTTTGCTTACTAAGCATTGACTTATGTAGTTCTTGCATTATAGATGAGCCTAGAACTACATAGAAAGCATGGCTAGCTGTGGAGCTCTTACAGGATTTCAGAGTTTGATGTACATGGATGACGACCTGTATGGTTATTTTGTGGGCTGCTATTTTGCGCTTATGGCCTATTTTGTTGTATGTTAGGAATCATGTTTTGTATATCTTTTGACATGACATGTAGATATGTTATAACCTCATAATATATATGTTGGATTATATGATATGATTTTGGTTTAGAGACATAGTTTATTCATCTTATCAGGTGAAAATAAAAATGCGTGAAATTCCATGTCTAGGTCGAGTCATCAATTTCATTCCCACACAGGTTAATAGATAGTTATATATATATAAGGGGGTGTGATACATTATAAGTTGTGAGCACTACGATCTTGTAGTAAAGACAACGTTACCTAGTTCCTTCAATTCATTCAAACAAAAGTTGACTCAATCGGTCAAGTGAAGTCGGAAAGAAATATTGAAAACAACCAGATTACGTTGGTTCTAAATCGAGTCAAATAATGTATCTAATTAAAAAAAACAAAAAACAAATAAATAAAAAAGGAAGAAGATTGGACTGAAACTCATCTTTCATTGTTATTGTCCAACTCCAAAAATTGAATACGGTAAAGTCTCCACTAAGATTGATCTAAAATAGTATACGTCCATTTTTTCTTTTCACATTAATTTCTTTATATACTCTAGTTTATCAAATTATTCATTCACATAAAAGATAAAATAATTATTTCATTTTTTAAGAGAATAACAATGAAATGTAAATGATCCTTTCTAATAAAGTAACTTGTGAAATGTAAATAGCAATATTTTGAAAATCGACCCGAGCATTGACCTGAAAAAGACAAGAGGTCAAAAGTCGAAAGGTTGAATCGGGTCGAACCGTGGTCCAACTAGTTTTAATAAATAAATGAATAAATATACCATAAAATTTGAGAAAATAAATTATTTTTTTAATATTAATTAATACATGCAGATAAAAGACTTTTAAACTTGGCTACATTTCATTATATCCACTTTTAATCCCAACAAAATGTAATGATAGATACAGTTAAAGTTTCAACTTAGCCTCTGTTAAGTTTCATTTTTTCACTAAAAATTTAATGTTACTTTTTAAAGTCAAATTTTAATATTTTCTTTTTTTTTAAGTCAAATTTTAAAATTTTTTTTTGGGGAACAAATTTTTTTTTTTTCTTTTTTTTTTTTTTTTTTTTTTTTTTTTAAGAAAAATAGCACTTCAATTCTTGAGTATTCCCATATGGTGTTAAAAGGCTTGAAGGTTTTCCATTCGAAATGTTAAATAATCCCGCATTGAAATCAAGAAGAAATAAAAGTGAAAGAAAGAAGTTATAAAATGGCCGGCAAATTGTATGAAAATAATAAATTTTTTAATGCTTATGTAACCAATTGTCACAAATTAATTGTTAGATTTTGAACTTAACCATGAGATTTAAAGAACGATGAGTTAGGGACTTACTTTTCAAATTTTATGACGACCGGACTATGAGCGCTAAGGTATCAATATTCGATCTCAACTGCATAGACTATACAGATTTTATGAATTTTATGCACTTTTAATATCTGATTAGATTAAATAATCATAAATAATTATCCTATAATTTTACAGCACTTGTTGACTAATAAAACAACCTATAAGCAAAACCAGTTATTGGCAAAATGTTTAGTCTTAAATGAACAAAACAAAAACAAATACCTCATGCTTTAATAGCCACATTCTTGCTGTTATTGAATAGTACAGAATACAAACTCAAAAGTATGGTGTATATTTTGTGATTCTACATTTCTACTCAATATCTCTGCACCTGTCTCTCTTCCTCGATTGAGAACTTCAAGATTTTTCCTTTTTCCTAATATTTATGCTCCAAAACCGATTCATGGGCATCTCTATTATACTCTTATTGCTCATTCAAAACGAAGCTAAATTCAGTTCAGATATTTTTCTTGTACAGTTATCATGTTGGCTCCATGATGATCTTCTTTCAACACATGTAGAATTTTGAACGGTACCTTGTAAGACCCAATACTAAATCATTAATTTTTAGTAATTAATTCTCTAGTGCCGTTTTTTATTTTTATTTTTTTTGTCTTCTTTTATGCTCAAATTTTGAAGAAAATATATCTGCTTTCTTTGAAAGGATTCTCAATTTCTTGGCCTTTTTTTTCTGTGTTCTAATTATTGATTGATTTTTTTAGTGGGTTGTGTTTTCACTTGTTGAAGCTGCTGAAGTCTTCAATTGGTTGAAGATTGAGGAGCTGGAAGTGACACATGGGCTTGGGTTTAATTTTTGGTGACAAGGAATCGATCTTTAAGGGAAAATTAGTAAATTTGATATGGAATCACAATTGGGAATGATTGAACAATCATTTAACTTAAGATATTCAGGATGGGTTAGGGAAGCTCTAAATGAATTGTCTGATAATTTCACCATAACTGATCCTTCCATTTCTGGGCATCCGATTGTGTTTGCTTCGAATGGATTCTTCAAAACAGTTGGTTACACTGAGGATGAGGTGATTGGGAGAAATGGGAGGATGTTTCAGGGGCCTGAGACTGATAGACGGTCAGTTATGGAGATTCGCGAGGCAATTCGAGAGGAAAGGGCTATACAGATCAGCCTGTTGAATTACAAGAAAGATGGGACGCCATTTTGGATACTGTTTAATATGTGTCCGGTTTTCAATAAGGAGGATGGTAGGGTGATTCACTTTGTGGGAGTTCAAGTGCCTATTTCCAGGAGGCCAAGGCGTTCAGGATGCACTGTCGTGAGGGATGCTGTGAATTCTTCTGAAAATGGAGCACTGTTTTGTCAGGGCATGTTCAGATGTTGTAGGAGGGAGCTCTGCTCGGATACAGTCATGGAACTGGGACCTGCATCGGCTCTGAATTCAGTATCAATTCCTGATGATGGTCTATTTCTATTTTATCTCTTGTTGTGCTTTCAACTGCAAATCTTTGTGCACTTCACTAGGTTACATAGAAATATTTTGTTTCTTAGGTTAATAAATCCAAGCAACCACTTATTTGTTTAAATGATATGGACCTGTGAAATTCTTCTATTTTCCCTTTCTATGTATTTCTTTGGCTTATTCTTGTGTTCCTGTTTTCTCTTAGCATCTATACTTTCTACTAACTTCATAAATAAAAGAGATGTATGGATTTTTGACATTCATAACTCTGCATTAGGTTGCCCTTAGTTTCGTAAACTGCGCGAAGGAATTTGCAAATTCTTTCTACATGATAGTGAATATATAAAGTGACAAATGGACGTAGTTTTCACATGAGAGTCAACACTATAGAACTGTCTGTTTTTCTGTTTTTCCATTTCATTCTCTATTGTTCTCAAGATCGTGACCAGGGATTTATCCCTAACGGAGTTGGCTTCTCATTTTGGAGATATATAATTTCTACCTTTGCGATTACCATAGTTCCCTTGGTCCATAAGTTACGAGTAGATATTTGCAGTGGCTAATCCGTATGAACTGTTATTAATTGTTTGATCACAAAAGCTTGGATCCTCCTATTGCACCTTGAAGTTCTTACTTATGTTGTCTGAATAGGATATGATTTAAACAATACTGTTTATTGCAGAAGTAGAGATGAATGTACCTTGTGAGGCAAGTGAGCTAGAGAAGCGAAAAGCCAATGTTGCTGTTAGTAATGTTTTGTCCGTCCTAACCCACTATAGTGAGTTGACTGGCAAATTGGTGTGTGGCAAGCGCAGCTGCTTAGCTGGGATGGGACTACTTGGTTCATCCTTAAATATACCTCTTGGTAGTATCAAACAAAGCTTTGTATTGTAAGTTGGTTCAATAACTGGATTTTGTCATTTTTAACGATAATATTCAGGTTAACATACAGTTTTTAACATATCCCTTATTGGCAACACTCTCTGTTACCTTGCAGATCCGATCCGCACCTACCTGACATGCCAATAGTGTATGCAAGTGACTCATTCGTGGAATTAACCGGTACTCTCTTTACTAATATCATTTCTGTGTATTATTTCTTTGTCTCAAATGAGAAGTTTCCTACCGTCAGGCATCAGCTATTTAATTATTAAATAACAATTATATATTTTCATAGTCATCCATCAATCAGATAATTATTCGTTAACCATCAAGTTCCCCTTTGTGTAGGCTATGCTAGACATGAAGCATTGGGGCGTAATTGTAGATTTTTAAGTGGCAAGGACACAGATCCTGCAACGCAATTTCAGGTGAGTTTCTTCCCAATTCCATGTTTTATTTTATCCCTATATTGCCATGATTTCAAAAATGTAGCAGTCACTGAAATTTTGACTCTGTTGGTTTGTATGTTATGAGAGATCAACTTTTGCTACAAAAAATAAATTAAGTCTTTGAGGGTGGGAAAATTTTAACTTTTCTCATGTTGAACAGATAAAGGAATGCATTCAAACAGAGCAACCATGTACAGTACGTATCCTAAATTACAGGTTGATTGTTGACAGTACATCAAATCCTTTTTCTTGGTTTAATGCTTAATATTTCCCTCTCGTTAACATCTTTGTTGCTGTGTTTTCAGAAAAGATAAGACTCCGTTTTGGAATTTACTTCACATTTCTCCTGCGCGGAATGCTTTGGGGAAGGTAACTTCTGATTTCGTATGAACTTTTTATCAAGTGTACCATCTCTCTTCCTAGGAGAATTACACTTTTCGCTAACTTTATTTTGCGGAAGAGCATCAAATCATTTGTTTTAATTAACAATGTTCTATTCCTGGTTCCCTAGCTGTGGAGTAGCTGTCCGAAATCATTGTTGACTGATTTTCTTGTTGCTTCTTGTTAGGGATGGCTACGGGTTACGGGGCATGTATGGGACTGGTTGGCCACTCCCACCCTGTCCCGTTAGATATTTTTGTTACCTTACCCCATCCTCATATCCGATTTAAGTGGTACGTGATGGGGCAGGATCGGTGCAAGGCGGGGTTGTCCCATTTGTTGCCCCTTTTTTTGTTTTTTATTCATTTTATTTTTTACTTTAATTTTTTTATTTTTTTTGTTAATAAATATTATTAAGTTTTTTCCAATTTGTTAAGAACAACTTATGTTCTCTTTAAAAATGATGATAGATCTTTTATTTTTGTTTGATAAAAAACTTAAATTTGTAGTTAACTTTAAAAGGGACGGGGACTATGTTTTCCATACCCGGTTCGGAGTAATGCTCCTACCCCATCCCATTTGAGGCGGAGCTCACGGTTATCGGGTTGAATTTTTTTTCCATCCCTACTTCTTGTATATAAGCATGCAATCATGAACCAATTCTAATATTCAGCTGGCACATTCTTTGAAGAAAATTCTAATAAAGCCTATATTTCCATGAGCTTGGGTATAACATTGTCATCAAGTTGAAAATGTTGAAACTGATCCAGCTTTTCTCTAATTGTTAAGGTTATGTAGATAACTGTTAAGTAGTGTTGAACCACCTTATCTAAATGCTTAAGCTATTAAAAAGGACACACATTTATTTATTTAAATAATTTCATCAACATACCACTCATGTGCAAGCCAGATTCATTTTATTCACCAAAGCCCGATCTACGCAGTAAATGTTCCAACCGTCCTATATTAATTGGTTCAGAAGAAAATGCATACCAAAAGTATTCTTCTTTCTATGAACTGTATCTAAAATGAATTTACTAAATTTTCTAGTTACATAAGCTTGTAATTTATGAATCTTGTTAGTCTGTGGAGAAGGATATAGCAGGTGTACAAATATGGGCATGCACGCACAGACACTTAATATTGCAGGTTTTTTTATTTTCATTTTTATTTGTTATCCATATATTATGCTTACTCTATTCAGATTAATGAACAATCCAAAGAATAAAAGTGTAGACAATCTTTTCACTGGGCTACTCTTTCTTTTTGAGCATATTTCTCAAATGACGAACTGTAATTTCCTGCATCACATTGATTTTGACATTCCTAATTTACTAAGTGGATAAATATATATACGTAAGTTCTGCCACTAGTTAATTTAATTCTTTCTTCATCCATCCTTCATCTCTTGTCTTAGTAATTGAAAAACTACAATGATTTCTGGAGGGTTATTGATGAATGCCATGAAACTCATAGGCATAGACGGCACGTGCATGAATATTCACATATGTACTAAAGAGCTATAGGCCTTATACCTCAGTTTTAGGTGCTTTGACTCTGAAACCTCACCATTTAATACTGGATGTCTGTAGTTATTAAAGAATTTGAGCCACAAAGGCTCCTGAAGGCTTTGCCATCATTTTTAAAAAATAGTTACTAGGCAACTTTATGGAGAAAAAGTGTCGTGGAGCTATTCAATTAACACAAGGACATAAAGTAGGAAGATTTTAGTGTTCATAGGTCCATAGTTTCTTTGATTTTCCTTCAGTATAAAGAAAAATATGCCACATAAATTTTTAGCTCTGTGGGAAAATAATGCAGTTATTGAATCCCAGGTAGCTTCGTATGAACTTTTATCATATGAACATTGACCTCATTTTGTATAATGTGAAATTCCCTGTTGTTTTAATTGCAAATAAAATCACAGCACAAACATCTCCCTCCAAAATTATAATATGCAGATTGATGAAGACTAAACCGAGTCGTGATTTCCTAATTATTGATATATATATATATATATTTTTTTATTCTAATTATCAATATTTAGCCAGTCACTTTACACCTAAATTTTGAAGGGCAAGACCTCCCCTCTTTAGATGCCTGGAAATTATCTATGCTTGGAACCTACTTTGTTTAAAGATGTCGAATTTTTTACTTCCCTCAGGCCGTCTCCTCCCTTCTCCAAGAAGGATAATTGAAAGCAAAGAGTGAATGAAGCAGTATCTCAAAGGAACTTATAAAATTAATAAGAAAACGATTCTCTCCTGGCATGCCTGTGAATTCGACCAAGATAGGGATTTGTTTTGTTTATTTTAGCTTCTGCTCCCTTTCTTTATCTTCCATCCGAAACATTACTCGCGTAGCTCTTTGTTATACGGTCTAGTTACGCTGTTAGGTAGAATAAAATTCTACATGCTTATTCAATACTGAAGCCACATTCATATTTTATTGGAAGGCATGAGACGTTCATAATTTCTGTTATGGTTGGCGAGGACTTGAACTCTTGGTCCTATGCCTACTCTAGTACCATGTTGAACTATCACATCCATACGTGATGTGATAGGATGTTAAACCACTACATCTAAAAAATTAAACTGTTAGAGAAGTGTCACATTTATTTATTTAGAACCGTGCAAGCCAAAATCATTGCACACCAAATTTATATTTTTATGATAGGCTTGATGCTTGGACAAATTCTATAAATGGGTGAACTCGGTTTATTTTTATGCCATGTTGAACTATTTCACCTAAACCTTTAACATTCTTTGATGTGATGAAGTAAATGTGCAGGTGGCATACTTTGTCGGGGTTCAAATAGACAGCTGTAAGATTCAAGAGGAACACAGGTTGAGGTCACAGAGGAGGCAACTTAGTGTCGTGGGTGCAATCAAGGTTGCTGTGAGAAGTTTGTCAATGGGCGCCAGCACTTCCTAGATTGTGTATAATTTTCTTTTAGCCGTTTTATCATTTATACTCTGCCCTTTGAATTGTATTTCATTGTAGTTGATTGAAAGCCATGATTTACTTATAAGTTTCCACGGACCTATGTAGCGAATTTGTTGCAAATAAGACATTCAATTAAAATAAAGATCTTTTTAATCACTCTGCCTCCATTGATAAGGAAATGTGTGAAATTGTACGTCGCTGGAATTTGGTTGGAGTTGCAGCTTACTGTTACTCTGCCTGGAATGAATTTGCATTCTGGTCATTTTTCTCGTAGTTGGATGATGATGATGATGATGATGATGATGATTATTATTATTATTATTATTATTATAACTGTTGCTGCTACTGTTAGTTTTAGTGTTATAAATATTATAAAGGATGGATGTCCATAA